TTCCGGTTCTTGTGCGAGCCCAGGGAGTTGTTGCTGACGGCGTCCTCCTCCAGGCGGACGATCTTCTTGTTGCTGTAGTCGTTCTCGATGACGTCGCGGTTGTCTTTGCCGATCGAGTTGCCGATGTGTTTGCTGTTGTTGATGACGGAGTTGTTCTTCATCTTCCCGTCTGTGGGGGGGGACAGGGAGGGGCGTCAGAACGGGCTCGGCGGGGCGGGGCTCTAGCTTCTAGTGAGGGGGCTCTAATGAGGGGGCTCTAGAGGGGGTGAGGGGGCTCTAGCGAGGGGGCTCTAGAGGGGCTCTAAGCTCTAGTGAGGGGGCTCTAGTGAGGGGCTCTAAGGGGGCTCTAGTGAGGGGGCTCTCTCTAGCGAGGGGCTCTAGTGAGGGGGCTCTAGCGAGGGGGCTCTAGTGAGGGGCTCTAGTGGGGGGCTCTAGCGAGGGGGCTCTACTCTCTAATGAGGGGGCTCTCGAGGGGGGCTCTAGAGGGGGCGAGGGGCTCTAGTGAGGGGGCTCTAGGGGGGCTCTAGGAGGGGGCTCTAGCGAGGGGCTCTAGTGAGGGGGCTCTAGGAGGGGCTGAGGGGGCTCTAGTAGAGTGAGGGGGCTCTAGTGTGGGGGCTCTAGTGAGGGGGCTCTAAGGGGGCTCTAGCGAGGGGCTCTAGTGAGGGGGCTCTAGCGAGGGGGCTCTATGAGGGGGCTCTAGCGGGGGGCTCTAGTGAGGGGGTCTCTAGCTCTAATGAGGGGGCTCTAGTGAGGGGGCTAGCGAGGGGGCCTCTAGTGAGGGGCTCTAGTGAGGGGGCTCTAGTGAGGGGCGCTCTAGTGAGGGGGCTCTAAGGGGGCCTAGTGAGGGGCTTCTAGAGGGGCTGAGGGGGCTCTAGTCTAGTGAGGGGGCTCTAATGAGGGGGCTCTAGAGGGGGCTCTAGCGAGGGGGCTCTAAGGGGGCTCTAGTGAGGGGGCTCTAGTGAGGGGCTCTAGTGAGGGGCTCTAGTGAGGGGCTCTAATGAGGGGGAGGGGGCTCTAAGCGAGGGGCTCTAGTGAGGGGGCTCTAATGAGGGGGTTTAGCTCTAGCGAGGGGGCTTCTAATGAGGGGGCTTTCTCAGCTCTAATGAGGGGCTCTAAATGAGGGGCTCTAGTGAGGGGGCTCTAGAGGGGGCTCTAGTGAGGGGCTCTAATGAGGGGGCTCTAGTGAAGTTCTAGTGAGGGGCTCTAATGAGGGGGCTCTAGCGAGGGGGGAGGGGGGCTCTAGGAGGGGGCTCTAAGGGGAGCGAGGGGCTCTAGTGAGGGCTCTAGTGAGGGGGCCTCAGTGAGGGGGCTCTAGTGAGGGGGCTCTATGAGGGGGGCTGAGGGGCTCTAGTGAGGGGGCTCTAATGAGGGGGAGGGGGCTCTAGTGAGGGGCTCTAGTGAGGGGGCTCTAGCGAGGGGCTCTAGTGAGGGGGCTCTAGCGAGGGGGCTCTAGTGAGGGGGCTCTAGTGAGGGGCTCTAATGACGGGGCTCTAGAGGGGGCTCTAAGGGGGGCTCTAGTGAGGGGCTCTAGTGAGGGGCTCTAATGAGGGGCTCTAGTGAGGGGGCTCTAGTGAGGGGCTCTACTGAGGGGGGCTCTAGCGAGGGCTCTAATGAGGGGGCTCTAGTGAGTCTTAGTCTAGTGAGGGGGGCTCTAGTGAGGGGGCTCTAATGTGAGGGGGCTTCTAGTGAGGGGGCTCTAGTGAGGGGGCTCTAGCGAGGGGCTCTAGCTAGTGAGGGGGCTCTAGTGAGGGGGCTCTAGTGAGGGGCTCTATTGAGGGGGCTCTAATGAGGGGGGCTCTAGAGGGGGCTCTAGTGAGGGGCTGAGGGGGAGGGGAGCTCTAGTGAGGGGGCTCTAGTGAGGGGCTCTAAGAGGGGCTCTAGTGAGGGGCTCTAGCGAGGGGCTCTAGTGAGGGGGCTCTAGTGAGGGGGCTCTAAGGGGGCTCTAATGAGGGGCTCTAGTGAGGGGGCTCTAGCGAGGGGAAGCGAGGGGGCTCTAGTGAGGGGGTCTATTGAGGGGCTCTAATGAGGGGAGCTCTAGTGAGGGGCTCTAATGGGGGGCTCTAATGAGGGGCTCTCTAGGAATGCTCTAGTGTGAGGGCTCTCTCTAGCTCTAAGGGGGCTCTAGTGAAGGGGCTCTATTTCTAGTGAGGGGGCTCTAGTGAGGGGGCTCTAGCGAGGGGGCTCTAAAGGGGCTCTAGTGAGGGGGCTCTAGTGAGGGGCTCTAGTTCTAGTGAGGGGCTCTAGCGACGGGGGGTTCTAATGAGGGGGGCTCTAGCAGAGGGGCTCTAGTGAGGGGCTCTTAGTGAGGGGCTCTGCGAGGGCTCTAGTGAGGGGGCTCTAGTGAGGGGGCTCTAGCTGTGAGGGGGCTTCTAGGTTCTCTAGTTCTCTCTAGCGGGCTAGAGGGGCGAGGGGGCTCTAATCTAATGAGGGGCTCTAGAGGGGCTCTAGTGAGGGGGCTCTCTAGCGAAGGGGCTCTAAGGGGGCTCTCTAGTGAGGCGGG